AAAAAAAAAAAAAAAAAATTATTTATTGTAGAGACAAGGTCTTGCCACGTTGCCCAGGCTGGTCTCAAACCCGTGGACTCAGGCAATTCTCTCACCTCTGTCTCCCAAAGTGCCGGGTGTAAGCCACCACACCCACACCCGGCTTGCTTTTTGTTACCTTCTAACAAGCATCACTGGGTTTACTGCTTATTGATGACCTTGCTGATGACTTTATCTCTGGTGCCTTGGCATTAGAGTTAATATTCTACAACTGTTTGTTGAATGAGTGAATGACAGCATGGCAGTCTGGTTCTGGTGTGAAAAGTCTTGGGAGGCCTGAGTTTGAATCCTGGTTCTGTCATTAACTAGCTGTGTGATCCTGCACAACAATTTTAACCTCCCTGCGCCTCAGTTTCCCCATCTGTAACTGGGAAGCCTACTTCAAATGGGTTCTTGGTGGAGTAAACGCGACGATGTCCCGATTAAGCCCCCGCTGCCTTTCCCCCCTCCCCTCCAGAACTGTCAACACGAGAGTCCACCCAAGCCCATACGACCGCGATATGACGTTTCCATTTACTTTGGATTATATGTCATTATAAATATTAACAAATAAGACTTAAAAAGGACACCCTTGGGCAGGTCAGGCGGAAGTACAAAAATTGTGTTGTGGGTCTGCAGCCTGAGGACAGTTTCTGCAGCCGTCACGTGGTAGCAAAACGGTGTTAAGCAGTGCACGAGAGTCTGCGTCGACGACAGCCAGAGTCCATGCATCGGGAGGTTCACTCGGTTCGAGAAGGAACAAAGGACGGGCGGGGCATGCACAGCCCGGGGCTCGGCGGGTGGCTGGCCAGTGAGGTGCGCTTCCTCGCTGTCGCCACTAGAGGTCAGGCGGTTACCGCTTCAGGGTTGGAAGACGGGCCCGTCGGGGATTGGCTAGTGGCGGCGGCGGGCGGGGCGGAGACCCCGGCGGGAGGTGGAGGCCGCGCATCCGGCCACCCTCTGGTTACTGACACCTGACTTTGGGATGACTTTTTTTGGCATCAGAGTTCCTGTCTTCGTAGGGCTGATGGACCAGAGAAAAGATGCCCACTTGGGGTCAAAGACAGAGCTAATTCTGCGGGTGCTCAAAGCCGGACTTCCTTTGTGGCATCTGCAAGAGTCGACAACAGTGCTGGGACCCTGTGAAGGTTTCAGAACTTGCTTGTGGGGGTGGGGAGGCCCTGCCCGGCTGTCCCTGTGGTCAGTTTGCACTGTCTTTCAGGGATAAGCTCATCTTTGCACAGCCTGGGGCAACAGAAGGCCCTGGACTGGGTGCCCCCAGTCCCGGGTTCTTGTTCCAGCCAAGCCCTGTGCAGGCCCCTCCACCCACTGGCCCTCGGTTTCCCCATGTGTCTTATGAGAAAGTCATGCTAGGTAGGGCTCACGGCCCCTTCTAGCTTTGCCATTCAGCACTTCCATATCTTCAATAAGGTTGTTGCATATCCTCTCTGAATGGGGTCTCCCAAATATCAAAGCTAAGACAATACCCAGAGCTCATCTAGCCACCAGGCCCTTTAAAAACCACTGCACTCTAGTCTGGGCGACAGAGTGAAACTCCAACTCAAAAAAAAAAAAAAAAAAAAGAAACCACCTCTCCACTAGGTGTGGTGACTCAAGCCTGTAATCCCAGCACTTTGGGAGGTGGAGGTGAGAGGATTGTCTGAGCTCAGATATTTGAGACCAGCCTGGGCAACTTGGCGAGACCTCGTCTCTACAACAAATAAAAAAATTAGCCAGGCATGGTGGCGTATGCCTGTAGTTCCAGTTAGTCGGGAGGCTGAGGCAGAAGGACCACCTGAGCCCAGCAGGTCAAGGCTGCAATAACCATGAGTATGCCACTGCACTCCAGCCTGGGCTACAGAATGAGACTCTGACTCAAAAAAAAAAGAAAGACCACGTCTCACTTCAGGCCCCCTGAGGTTCCTCATGTTAGCTGGGGAAAAAAGAGGAGCCCTTGCCTCAGACCCCAGAAGCTGAGGAGGGGCGCTGAGTTCCAGGACCAGTGTGGGCACCTCTGGGGAAGCCCTAAGTGTCACAGTTTCAAAGCCAGCTAGAGGATGAGGTGGCAGGACGGTGACAAGACCCTCGTGTCTCTACCGTGCACCAGAACTGAGTCTCCAACAGCCCAGGAGCGAAGGGACCTAGGAAAGTTGACCCCCAGCCAATCAGAGAACATGGTCATCAGAGGACCTGGGCTTGCGTCTCTGTTATCCCTTCCCAGCTGTGTGGCCTTGGAAAACAACTCAGACTCTCTGAAGGTCAGGCTCACCTGTAAAATGGGGATGACAGTGAAATCCACCTCACAGGGTTGTGAAAATTCATCGAGACAGTGGGTGCAAAAAGCCTTACCACCATGAAAAGCCTTCCTAAAGATGGGAAACCAAAGCCCGAGGAGCAACAAAGGTGGCCAGTAAGGGCTGGAGTCCTGTTTTCCCTGCAATCCGGGAAGGGTGGTGGGCACTTGGTGGGATTTGAGTCATCACCCCGGGCCTCGGATGTGATGTGCTTTGTGTCTGCAGCAGCAGGTCCACTCCTAGGGCTTGTGAGCACTGCTCCTGGTGTGGGTGGGGTGGCAGCTGGCGGGACCTCTCCCATGCGAGCCCAGCACCCCACCTCCCCTGAAGTGTGGTGTCAGTGCTCTGGACTGGGGGCTTGGTGGGGGCCGTGGATCCTGGTTCCAGCTGTGTGAGGGTGGAAGGCCTCGGGCGGGTCACCTTCCCTCTTTGGGCCCCTGTGGCTTGGAAACGCCTTGGTTCTGCATTAGTTCACCCATTGTTCCTCAAGGCCCCTTGGTAGGAGGGGGGTTTGGAGGCTTCAGATCTGGGCCCCACCGGCCCCAAGACTCAGATGCTCTCAACCTTCCTGGAGAAGCTGACTTGGGGGCGCAGACGGGCCTCCAGGCAGGGTCTCCCTCTCAATCAGCTCCTGAGGGTGGTGCTGGCCCCACAGGCCTCCTGGAGACAAGGCTCTGGACTGCCACCGAGTACTCCTGAAGGGACACCCTTGGTCGCGGTGGGGCCAGGATGCCACACGCAACCGCCTGGGGGCCCCAGTACTCAGCCCAAACTGGCAGCAGAGGGGAAGGGGAGAGCATGGGGGCATGGTGGTTTCTTTCCATGCGCAAGAAACCCTTCTTCTTCCCTCCGCAGCTGGGAAGGAGGAGGAGACCAAGGTGGGCAGCTGGGTCTCAGGACTGCCCTTGACCCTGCGCCAGGGTCACTTTCTCCTCCTCCGCCTCCTGCCACCAGCCCCACTCCTACCCTCACAAAACCCTCTTCTCCCCCAGAGGAGACCCTGGACCTAGCACCTCTCTCTCCCCTCCAAGCCTCTGCAGACCACTCCCACCGCCTGAACTGCCCTTCCCCTCTGTCTGCCTCACCCTTCAAGGTCTTGCTGAAGCACACCTCCTCCAGGAAGCCTTCTCTACCCTCCCAGAAGAGTTAGCAGTATCCACAGCACTTGCAGCAGGGCCAGGCTGGTCTTGGCATTTCACACCCTCTTGTAATGGTTTGTTTCCAGCTCCCTGAGGGCAAGCCCAGTCTCATCTTCCCCAGGGCCTGGGCAACCATCGAGTGAAGCACTTGCCCACTTTCCCTGTTTGGGAGGCCGGGGTGGCCCGCTGCTTCTGCCCGCCCAGCGGTGCCACAGCCCAGCCTCCTCTTGGCCACGTGTGGGAGCTGCGGGTCTTCAGGGTCCAGTCCTGCACCTGCCCTCCCGCCTGCCATCTCCCTCCAGTTCCTCCTGGCCTGCCTCCCATGCTCCCGGCCTAGGCCTCCCTGCTGACCTTCAGAGGAGCCCTGCTCCCCAGTGGCCCCGTCCCTTTCCCCAGCAGATACAGAGGCAGAGCTATCCTCCCACCGCTGGCCTCCTGGGCCCCGGAGGCTGAGAGCAGGCCCAGCTCCCGGCCCTGCCTGTCCTTGCAAGCGGAGGCTACAGTGGCTCTGGGTCCAGGTGGGTGTCCTGCACATCCCCCACGCGGCGGCGCAGCCCTTGGTGGCAGCCGAGGAAGCCCCGGGCCGGCTGCGCGC